ATTAGAGCATACTGTGAAATATATAACTTACGTGATTTAGAAATACATCCAAATCATAATAAATAATGAATACTGAAATCAATAATGAATAAGTTGATATTAAAGAAATTGTCTCAAAATTTTAAGTGATGGTTGGTTGTTGCTTTGAAAATAATGAATTAACATGAGCAAATATAAAAATATTGTATCTTCTTGCAAAATTAATGTCGATCCATTAATAGAATAATGTGGTTGCTGTGACTGGGATAATAATTTGGATAATGAAGTATACTAAATGATTTCATTCTTTCTTAAATGAGCATTCTTTCGTAAGTAATAAAACATAGCCCATAATTATTGAGAACAATCCAGTTTGTTTTGTTTTGTTTCGTTTCGATTTAGCCTAACCTCAAATTTTGACAGCATGATCACATGATCGCACTACAGTCAAATAGGTTTATCTTCAAAGATATTCCACCACACCTCAACTGCTTCTAGCTAAAAAAATCCAACTGTACCTCACTTCTACTGGTCCCGGTCTAAGGTATGGTCTCCTAATCCGCACTTCCACTGGTCCCGTCGGCAGTCCCTTTGCAATTTGTCTAACAGGATTACGGCTAGTGTCTGTATAGTTATCAATGCCCATTTATCGGTAGGAGCCTGAGGTGTTTCAGTAACATTAAAAAGCGCTGAATTAAATGTATAAAATTATAATATGCTTGCGAGTTTAAGAGTTCTTGAAAGCTAGCGGCCATCTTGTATAATTTCAAACAGCTGCTGAAGAGTTAATTATCATCCAAAAATAGTTTTTCAAACACCAAAGTGATTACGTAAATATCTAGTATACTGTGAGGTTAGAAATGTTGTTTGTTGTTTTGAATGTATTTCCAAGGGAGTCCATGGAAGCCAACGGCCATCTTGGATTTGCCCGCCATACGAGCAATGTTAATTATGTTATTTTCAAACAGCCACCGAAGGGTTATTTACGACCTCAAAATATTTGTTCAAATATCAAAGTGATTATCTAGTTTACTGTGAAATTACAGATTTGCTTTGTATTTTTACGGAAAGTAAATAAAAGAAACGTCTTATAACACTTGAAACATATATTTACGCTTATACTGTTACTCACAAGACGGTAAATATACAAAAAAGATGGTAAGTGGCTTTCCGTAAATTTAATAACACGTACAATGCTGATCAAGAAGTTACTTTGTATTTTTTTAATTGTTTTGTGAGTTAGAACGTCTAGGCTCCAAGGACTCATAATGAGAAATTTCAGCGAATGAGTTTCAGTAATGGGACAGGATGCATTGGGTTTTAATTCCTAGGGATACTAATAAGTACCGATACTAATACCTAAAAATATTACATAACTTATTTTTTAGAACGAAATATTTTATGTGTCTAATAATTTCAAATTCGCCACATTCAATGATGCTGAGAGCGCTGCAAGTATTTGCTGTTTTTGACCTGCACAGTGAAGTGATGCATTGTTTAGAGCTTTGCGATGACATGATGACCTGTCGAGGGAACTCCAAAATTCGCACAATTCTTTGACGAAGTATTTATTGTTTGTTTACATCACGCCTCATGCCTCATTGCCCCGCTGGATTAGCCGCCCCAAAACTACCTGGATCCCTCGGGACCAGTGGAGTCGTTTTAATGAATCCTATCCTTTTTTGACCATCGGATGACGGGACGGTTTTTTACCCAAAACCCTCTGGGGCGGAGCCCTTTTGACGGATCTGCACCAAACTTCACACAAACAATCCTTGAATAATGTTTAATGCCTGAAATTTTCATTACAATCTGTCGAGCGGTTTCGGAGTCCATAGGGTATATACACACATACTTCCACTTTTATGGATATAGATTTTAGCGAATTTCCCTATAGGGAAGTAGCTATTACCGTAGGTGGCATGGTAAGACCTAAGCCCGGAAGCGATTTACTTTTTCATTTTGATGTCCCCAGATACCAAAAACATCATTCGTTCAAATTTTTATATATGTATATATATATATATATATATATATATATAGATATAGATTTATATATATATATGTGTGTCCGTGAACGCGATAACTTAAGTAATTTTTGTCCGATTTTGATGAAATTTGGTTTAAAGGTGTAAAGCGGGATAAACTTGAATGAGTTCGCGAACCAGCATGATCGGACCATGGGAACAGGGCTTTACGGGGAGTTTTATGGGTTAAAAATTGGTTTTTCTCACTTTTGACCCTCAAAACACAAAGTTTCCCAATTTCTCTTTATACCTTTTTAAAGAGCTTAAAAAAACAAATAATTTAGTATATAAAATCATTTTTGTACGGTTATTGGTAACGGAGAAAATTTAAAAAATTTTAAATTTAAAATTCCCATGTTATTCTTATGGAGAATATTGTAAAATGTTGTAGTTTGGTTGTTTATGGATATATTTTGATCAAACTTGGCAAACTTATTTATTTTGTACTAAGCTATTAATATTTTACTAAAAAACACACTTTATTAGTTTCCTTGTAGCAGCAAACCTAGGTACTCGACCTATAATGTTATTTAAATATATTAATTGAAAATCAATTCAGACAAATGGAAATTCGCTTAGTTGTCAGGTTTGCTGCGACGGGGGTATTTTTATATGCCTGTTTTCCTTGTCATTTCTTCCACCATGGTATTAATGGTTAGTAATTAGGACATTCATCATTGTTATTGTTATTGTTTTTGCTACTCATTGTTATTCATTTTTATTTAATTGTTATTTGTTTTTGTTACCTATGTCTAAGTATGAAAAATGTGTGTTGTTGTTTAACATTAGCCATCTTGTAACTGTATACATTAATGTTTCTAAACAAATAGTACTACATCAAAATTAAATGTCCGTTGAAATGAAATAAAATAAGGAGTTCAAACAGGGATTTTTATCGGGAATGTTAATACGTTCCATATGAATTTTAATTGCGATATTAGAACCAGCATCTGCGGAGACGTCAACTTCTTTGGCCGCAGTGTCTCCTCCTCCGAAACGAGTGCCGTACTCAGAAGAATGCTCATGTAGTGAAATCTTGTTAATAATGTCACTCATCTGTTTCTCTTTTTGTTTTACTGTTGAATGGTCTATTTATTTTGTTTTTGTTGTTAAATAGTCTATTTATATTGTTTTTGTTGTAAATGATCTTTATTGTCTTGTTCAAAATGGTTTGTTATGTAGTTTTCGTTGTTAATAGTCTATTTATAATTGTTTTTGTTGTTAAATTGTCTATTTATATTGTTTTTCGTGCAACATGCCTGTATAGCTGTCACGTCCTGTAAATCATGTATATTTATTAATCAAAACTGTGTTGTTATCGCATTTCATATTATTATATTTCATATTATTTATTAGTATTTCATATTTGTTATAATATGTAATTATTGGTCGCACTATAACTATTTCACTTTAAGTCACAAAATATTTTTATCAATCTCAACTTAACTCTCTTGTAAAATGGCGTTTGCCGTGCATGTAATAAACAAATAAATAAATAAATAAATAGAACCAAAAGTCTTGTTTATCCTAAAGAAAAATCTATTTTGTGTACAATTCAAAGGACGGTCCTATACTTTTATAATACTACTACTGTAGTAGTACTAGTACACAAATATTTAGACAGTGTATGCGTATGATTAGTGGAAGTACAATTGTAGATAAGTTAAATGATAAATATCTAGACATTATTACCAAAACAAAATGGCAATATGGAATGGGAAAGTCTATTTTGTTATTCATTTCTGTACGTACAATTATTCCATCTGTTGCAGTTGCATTGTCACTTTCGGAAAGTTAGAATAGAACAGATAGAACAGATATCTTTCGCAAATAGGCTGCCCCATCCATAAAGCTCATACGTGAAAATAAACACGTTGTCATAAAATTTCAATGTTTTGAATTTTTTATATTTTGTTTCAAAAAGTATGTTAGAGTCGTATATATAAAAAATATTCAACGCAAGCTAGCAAACATACACATAGTACAAATGAGCAAGAAGCGCAGTACCACGGACTAGGGAAGAAAAGTTTTGTTTCCACTTTATACTACTTTTTTCCCTAGTCTGAGACAGTACCTACGTAAAATAACAAGCATAAAATACCCAAGGGAATTTCTTTACCAAGCGGGGTAATTTCGTTCCCCCTCATTAACGAGAGTTGGTAGACCTGCGCGCCATAGCAACACAGCGCGGCAGCGCAGCGCGCAGTCGTTTCTAGTGATGGGCGATACGGACGCGTATCGCGATACAGCGATACGATACGTATCGGAAAAAAATATCGTATCGCCGTATCGAATCGGGCATCTGTATCGCGATACGCGAATCGTATCGTCAAAAATATCGAAAAACGATACGTATCGTATCGTTTTCCCCCTCCCCTACCTAACCTAGAAACGGCTAATTTATATAAGTACCTGGGGACCAAGCTTTGCTCGGGGAAAATCATTAGTTTACTCTGAAAACAGTCTTATTATTGCAGATACATTAATCCATTTCCACGCTGCTCGCCTTTACTACTTCCTTTACAACTCCCTACGTCTTGGACATGTTTCCCTATCCTTCCGATATAATTTTAGGATTGCATACATTAATGTAGTAATTGCCACAGACAGTTCCCACACTCTGCACTAGTGCTAGATAGCACGTTAGTGGAAATGGAATGGACTGGACTGGGATGGGACTCGTACATTATCAAGTAAAAACAAAAAATAGAGACGTCAAAAACTCCTATTTCAAACTACACATCCACAGAGTACAGATTTTGCAGTTTGCTCGGCAGTCGGCCTGCGGGAGCCTGCGCAAAAAAAGCTTAAAAATATCGTTTTGGCATGAATCGTATCGCTCTATGTGCCGATATAAATACAAATATCGTTTTAGGCGATACGATACGTATCGTTTTTCAAATATCGTATCGAAATATCGTATCGTCCCTCGCGTATCGCGATATTCCGATACGATACGATACGTATCGCACATCACTAGTCGTTTCCGAGACCGTGCTTTGTGAGGTAGGACTGTCCGTTCTTTCCTAGAACTATGGATTGTTACAACTTTGAGTGAAAAGTGTTCAGTTTACAGTTTCCATTGTTGAGAAACTATCGGATAGTTTCACTTGTGGTTTGTGACGTGTTTTGTTGGTTTAGTGAGTGAAGTGCACTGGATTTTGTTGGTGTGTTGCGGCAATTTTTTGCTGTGGAACTAAATAAAGGTACTTATTAACTTAGTTTTGTTTTAATTAGTATTATAGGTTTATATAATGGTTTCCTGCTTTGCTGATACAGAAGGAAGGCATTAAATGGTGTTTGTTGCCCGGCTGAGCGGCGAGATCCCATATTGATTTGGTTGGGCTGATCCACCCTTCTGAGGTTATGCCTGGCATGGAAACTGCTTTTCGTTCCATACTTTCCCTGTTTTATATTATACTGTGACTGTACAGTTTGAAATGACCTGTACTCGGTTTGACCTCTACAAAGATTAACACAATATGTGTCCCTTCCACGAATTTATTACAGTAGGTTAATAAGTTTATGATTCATTGTACAACCGCACTTGGTCTAGTTGCAAAGACTTGAACAAGGGACTGTATAATAAATCGTTTAAAGTATTTGATCTATTACCTGCATGAAGCCGGAGCCAGTTAGAAGTTTACACTAGGTCACTTACATGATATACTTATAACTTATTTCAAGATATCACAGTCCACACTAGGTACGATAAAAAAGGCTAATTGACATTTTCCAAACATGTAAGCCTAAGTTTAATGTTTATTCATGTTCACGGAATACAGCATGTAATAACCCTTAAGACGGCGTGTAAATATTAGTGCAGTAAGTTACAAGGGAATTTATAGGCTATTTGATCAGCATCAGCGTTTAGAAATATAAACTTGGTTATTATTTCTGGACCATGGATCATAGATTAGATATGTTTCATGACAACTAGGTGCCTTGTTTTTTACCCAACTTATGATCAAGTTTGGAATGTACTATGAAAGTTTAATTAAATTTAGGCTACGGGAAAACAAATCTGGCAGATTTTAAAACAATATTTCAGGGCATCCTTCCTAAGACCTAGGAGGAATGCTATTTGTTTGGTGGAATTTTTGCGAAGAGATTTTCTACACTGTTTTGTTGATGTAACTGATTTTTTATAGCCTACTTGTTTCTATGGCATAGTAAATGGCGATAAACAAGGCATTCTTATTTTTATTCTAACTTATGGAATGAATTTATTTTCATAATGAAACAATATTCTTATGGACATGCCGAGAATCGAATCCGTTACTTGCCTACTCTGCTGATGTGTCAGCCACTATACGTGTATACTCAATGCTATTAGATTAGCGATGTACCGCATCTTTCAGTTAGGCCTAACTTATAACCACAATTCAGAATTGCTCTTATAAAATCTTCTTAGGCCTAGATGGGACTTCCCTTTCCGGTAATAAGACAGTCGTGTTGTTGACCTTCTAAATATGGTTATATATAATAAATTGTGTGCCGGGGATTCCCTTCATGGATATATTCGTATTGCCGCTAGTTCTAAAACAGAGTAGGGAGAGGTAGTCAACATACTCTGTACCGAAAGTCGTCTCTAGTTGGTTGGAGAAGTAACATGTCCATTCGATCCATTGGTAGCTGTAAAAAATCTCAGTCGATTTCTTATCGTTAATATTGTACATTTAAGGTATTTGTGTCACTTTTCCTGAGATGAAACAATCCTATCGCGGTGTGGACAATTTCTGTATATTATTAACCTATTGGAAATTGATTTAACGTCTAGTATCTTTTTTGCCATTGGGTCAACACATGATTGTCCAAAAGCTCATTATCTAGGATATTTTCTAGACGAATGGAATGACTGCGGAAAGAATAAATCACGAAATTTATTTTTTAAACATGGAAATGATATTTTTTTGCTTTGCTTGGATAGCCTGCTAAGGCACAGTGATAACTTCATACTTTCTTTAGTAATTTTTGTTGACAAACAGTTGCTCCATGGATAGAGTCAATGTAACTAATAATTTGAACTGAGCAGTCCGTCAAATTCAAAGATGATGACTTAGATTAATTAGAGTGACCCAGATATATATTGTTTCATTGTGATGTAGCTTACCTGACATAATATGTTATGTATCCAATTATTTCAACCAACGTATAACGAGAAACTCTCACATGGAGATAACTTATTACGGATCGAGACAAACCACTTGATAACGGCATTATCACTCCTTGTAATTTAATCCCTGAATTCTTGGATACAATTGCACGCTTTACCTCCAAACCATCTGTGCCTAAGTGAGCCTTTCTTTTTTACTTGTTTTTAACCATTTATTTTCTTAAGTAAGAAGATAATTGCAGTCGTCTACTAAGGGACTTGCAAGGTGGCTCGGGGTACAAGTGCAATGTCACGACAATACCCGAGCGGTCCCCCCGTAGTCACGTTCGGCACGCGTGCCCCCCCCCCTGAGGGCTGACTGATTGTTCTTATCCCGGGGGGCTGATTACCCCCCCCCCCACGCACACACACGCACTAGGGGTGTCGTGTCTGTATCAATCATCTCCGAGATTCTTATGTCGTCTGGTGTAAGATCTACATTAAACTTTCAGCTTGTGCCAATTCCTTAGGGAAGTAGCTATTACTGTAGGTCTCATGGTAAGACTTGAGCCCGATACCGATTTACTTTTTAATTTTGATGTCCCCAGAGGCCAAAAACACCATTCGTTCAAATGTTTATATATGTAGGCTATATAAGCCTATGTGTGTGTCCGTGAACGCGATGACTTGAGTAATTTTTGTTTGAATTTTATGTAATTTGGCGAAGAAGGAGTGAGGTATGATAAACTTCAATGAGTTCGCGAACCAGCATAATCGGACCATGAGAACGGGGTTTTACGGGAGTTCTTATGGGGTAAAAATTGGGGTTTCTCATTTTTTATTATCAATACACAAAATTTTCCAATTTCTCTCTGGCCCATTTAAAAGATTTACTGCATTGAAGTGTTTTTGTGCGGTTATTGGTTACGGAGAAAATTCAAAAAATTGTAAATTTAAAATCCCCATGTTATTCTTATGGAGAATACTGTCTAACTTTTTCGTTTGCTTGTTATGGATATATTTTTATCAAATTTGGCAAATTTATTAATTTTATACTAAGCTATTAATATTTTACTAAAAACACACTTTAAAGGAACATTCATTATTATTAACTAGTGAACCTGTGCGGCTCAATGCCCCGCAAAATAACATATGCATTTAGAAAACAAATTCATCGTGTTATATATTTGTATCGAATTTACTCGACGTCGAAAATTAAATACAGTAATAATAAAGCCTTAGAAGGGAAGCAGTCTAGCCATTTTCTAGCTGTATGTGTATTACATTTAGTAAATTAATAAGTGTTCAAGTTCAAGTGTGTTCCTAGTTATTTTTTAAAGATTTTTAAAACACATTTAACAAAACATTTGATCATATCAAACCAATAGGCCTATGAAGCATATTTTGAGGGTCTTACAATGCTGTTTGAAGAATATACTTTAAAAATAAACACTAAAAAAACAATATGTTAATCACAAAAGCACTTCCACGAATACTACGATTTTAGTCTTAAAGTTGCCTTCAGGAAGATTACCCTGGTCAGAATTTTCCGTAATGAATATGTTTTTGCCAAAGATAACATAAATTAGCATTTTTCCATTTTAAAAGGTAACTTAAGTTTGTTTCAGACGGGCACATTTTTATCCTCGAAATCAAAATATGTCCCCACTTACTTGTCCCAGTTAAGACTTTACATTCTATTAAGTTGTTAACCATTCTGATCACATGAAGCCTTGTGTCATTAAAATGAGGACCTTTTTTATGTATTAATATTCCACATCAATAAAACCACTGCCCCATTTTATTAGTCTAATCTGTGTCTTGGCAATCCACTGACCTCTATATTTAAAAACTCAGTTGGATTTCTAGATGGGTGTTTCCGCCTTCGTCTGTTTTCGAGGACCCACTCTTCTTCCTCTTGGCATACTGACAAATTACCTAACTTGTCAAGTTCATGTACTAATTCATTAATACTGTTAGTTTATAAAGAAAATTAGATAAAAGTTACTTGGCTCGGTGCTTTCATAACTGCAAACTCAAAATACACCCAGAAGTAAAAAAGACTCAAGTTATTGGTTAAAAAAACTATGTTTGTGTAACAACATTATTCACATGAAGTAGATGATTTTTTTATTTGTCAATCAGCTGTTTTGTTTAAAATGATTTAATAATGTCAAAGATTTGTGATTTTAAATATATAAATTATTATAGTAAAGTTTTCTAAATCATGGTAACTTATTCTCAACTAAATTTGACTATTCCCAGCATTAAAATAAAGTAGGGCATATTAAGACCCATTATGGGTAAACTTTTAAGGTACACAATCCTTGATTGAAATGTAGTATACATTAACAGTCATAACACACAGCAATTATTTTAGTAGACTTTGACTATTTTCAAGTAACAAACATATGTTTCTGTAAATAAAAATCATCTTCCATGTTATCCTTATGGAGAAATATGAAACTTTAAAGGGCCCCAGGGCCTCACTCTCTAATTATTTCCTTAAAAAAAGAGTTTCCTGCACAACTTCACGTTACGCTCTTTCCAATGACACCAAAAACATGACAATCGGTTCAGTAGTTTCGGAGGAGTAATTGTCACAAAAAATCTGCTTGCGTATTAAATAAGTACGAGAGGTCGTCCAGTGGTCGAAACTCGACCAAAAATATGTAATGCACTCACTTCTCTATTTTCACCCCACACTGTATATAAAACATGTGATTGGAGTTTCTTCCATTTGTTTTGATTTTCTGTTTATATTTCGTTGTTATTTCGTCACCAGCATGGCAACGCATAAGATCCATGTTAATTTTTCAAATTTTTAAACTCATTTTTTGTGCTTATCTTTAAGCCTATTTAAATTTACAAAGGGATTCTGCACACCTACAGGAAAATTGCTTTCTAACGGTATGCGCAGATTTACCCCACGATGCACACAAGCTGAGAAAAAAGGTTTTAAAGAAACATGCTCGCCTATTAATATATAGATAGATAGACGAGAGGTCGTCCAGTGGTCGAAACTCGACCAAAAATATGTAATGTACTCACTTCTCTATTTTCACCCCACACTGTAAATAAAACATGTGATGGGAGTTTCTTCCATTTGTT